AAACCTTCCTGATTCTGCTCTTCAGATGCCTGAACAGCAGTTCAGACAGCAGCAGGCACAGACTGGATTTACTCTTGTATAATGGGATTTGACATATCTCACAGCATTTAGTTTGCATCTAAATAGCCTGGTACTTTTCTCAAATAACTTGCCTTTCTATGAAAGGCAACTGCACAAACATTTAGGGATTTGATTTGGATTAGTATATTTGAAGATCTCATGAAAGAAATGTCATGTCTGAAATTTTTACTGAACAATTATGACAAAGGAATCTCATAGGTGCAATAACAAGACTGTTCAAAATCATAATTACTGAGAACAGGTGCTGTATTATTATCTGTATTATTGGAAGCAGATATATACTGGACTTGCCAAAGCATGTCTCTGCTCAGGATGGATTTGCTAACAAAGCATGTCAAACACAGAAGGGACTGTGATCCTGAATATATATATGATTTCTTGAATAAATGATTTCTTGAAATACTGATTTCTTTAATACATGCAACAGCAATGAAAGTGGCTGGCAATTCAAAAGCTATGTCTCAACGGCAGCATGTACACTCGTATGCGTGCATTCATCGAGGGGCAAAAACATTTCCCATGATTCAGGAAATCAAACTACATTGTCTTAGGTCTCCGGGAAACTGCTTTGAGTGTGCACACAGTTTGTTACCATGTCACACCTGCTGGGGCTAAGCATCTTAAAACACAATAATCCAATCACCTGCTGATTGTTATTTCCAACATTACAATGGCCCATTTGTTACTATTTTTATTTTAAAAGAGGTTTTCAGGGCTTTGCGTAAGCCTTGTGTACTTAGACTATTATTTAGGCATACCTTACACAGATCTTTGAAAAATACCAATGCTTTTTATTTTCTGCATTTGTCAAATAAATAATGCTGTGGTACATCAGCATTTATTCTTCAAGACTGAAATGTTGAATAATTCATTCATGACTGCAGTACTCCAGCATATGAACTAAAGTTATGTTTTATCTTTGTCTATGTGAAAAAAACCTTCAATGCATTAGGCAGAGGTATTCGCTCTCTCCATATAGCTATATAAAGAGATATTTAAATGTGTTCCGGTATTACTACATCTATAATTCCAATGCATTTTCCCTAGTTACCTTCCTTAAGCTTCACACCAAGGTTCACTGCATATAAAACTGCATAAAAGTACAGTGGATTATAATGAAAGAATTACCTCTCTGTCTTTTATGAGCTAAATTTATGGACCTAAGTTGTTATGGAAGCAAAATATTTGGAATCTCCAAGAATTTAACCTTGACTGTGACACTTTATTGTTTTTTAATAAACTCATTTTTCTACCATTATTTTAAAGTTTGATGGCCTATATCCAAAAATCATAATGGCTACACTATTAAAAAGGATTGAAGCCTACTACAGTCTAATCACACCACATTTTGGCCTCATACTATTAACGCTAGAGATGTTTCATCCTTTGTGCTTAGGATTATAGTCTAAATGACACTATAATGTTTGCAATTTCTAAAGATAAATATTAGATAGAAGGAAATAAATTACAAAAGGAAGTAAGTTTTAATGCGAAATGAAGGTTAACAACTGAGAAAAAAAATAGTGAAGTTACCAGATTGTTAATTTTAAAATTGATCTTGAAAGGACCAAACACATTCTCTAGAAATATATTCAATGTGTCTACATATACCAAACTGATCTGGTTTTAATCCTGTTTTCACTTAGATACAATTACTATTATCAATTATAAATCCAATAACAGAAACTTTCCTTGATTTTGTTGTGAGAGTATGTCCCTTACAAGTACTATTACAAAATGCTGCCCTTGATGCAACGTTAAACATCATGCAGGATCTTTTTCAGAACCTTACACCTGACTCATTAGGCTGTAAAAGCAGGTAGGTGGCAAGAACTCCAAGGATGCTTTCTTCTTTTTTAAGTAATAAAAAAAAGTGAACTTTAGCAAACTTCACAAGTACCTCTGTTTGCTGAAGAACCAGATATGATATTTATATAAGGGAAACATGCTAATTGCTACCAGTTGCTAATTACTACCACAAGAAATGAGGGAGTGAGATAGTTAATTGCAAATGCTATTAAAGGCAGAATTTATTTCACATGTCAGCTGCTGTTTGAAGATGTAGCTATTTTTCTAAGCTAGTCAGCTAGGGTTTTTTTTCACAGTGGGGGTGGGTGTGCACATGTGTTGGGGTGTGCAAAGAGAGTCCGATGATTAGCTCAGACTTGTTGCAGAACTGGTATGGAGCTACAGATAAGTTTGATGAATGCAGCCCTGCATAGCCCAGAAGAAGCAATTTAAAATCCTCTATCTCTGCTGAAACTGTTACTGCCAGGAGTCTCCTCACTACCTTCTCAAGAAGGCTGGATATTATGAGATAAGCCTGTGAAAAAGGGGATATGCTTTTCAGTAAGAGTGAAGCTTCTGAATTTAATGACAAGAAACCTTTCATTCCTTACTTTCATCAGAGAGCACCTTATGCACAAATAGTAGCACACCACATATGGCAATGCATGGTTAATTCATTTTGAGTGTCTAGACCTGAGGATATCTAATTAACTATGTTACATGGGACTAATATACCCAAATTGTCCAACTAACTTAACTGGGGAGAAGACAAAGTTTTCAAGTCCTATTTTCTAATAAGTGTCTACCTTAGTTCCAAGTCATTGAAGGGAATTGCTTTATTAATACAAGCTTACCCTTGAATGATACGGGGCAGTGACCAGTTGCTTTACTCAGCTATGAAGCACCTAGAGAGAGCCTTGTAAAATTTAAAAATGTTCGGGATTCTTTTTTTTCCTTTTTTTAAGAAGGCCTAGTTAATTCTCCACAATAAACATGACTCTATTTCTGTTACCCAACAAGGTTAGCCACTCACACATATGTATTAAATTTTTTCTTAGCTTTTCATTATTTTAATCATCCAATCTACTATGAATGTTCCATACATAATTTTAAGAAGCTCAGTAAAATGAAGACCCATCCTCTTTTACAAAAAAAGTCTTACCTCTACTATAAGCATATACAGCTGTATGAGTAGTATTTATCATGTAAGAATTAATTTTATACCAGTTTTCTACCGCTAATTCTATGTCCTGTAGCTATTTTTAATGGTTGAATGATCATATTTATATCACACATAATTACTTTTCTGCTAAAAGTGAGACAAAATTTAAAACATGGACCAAAAAAGGTCATGACTTCTAAAGAAAGCCTAGCTGTGGAAAATTTCAGCCCATACAGTAAACTTTAATGGCTGAGAACAAGGAGAACTGAAAACACTGCAACTTTTTTTATAACATTTGATGATATTTGTGCTATAATTATGCAGTAGTTTGTGTGGTTTCTTTTGTTCTGCTTACTGTAAGTGAGGAAATAATGGTTTCAGTTGAATGTCTTCATCAGAAGCTACTTTTATCAAGCTAAGTATGCCCTGTGGAGACTCTGAATGTTTAACTCTTACCCTATGCTAAACTGAAAGTATAATAAAATGCAGGAGTCATTAAAAACTTAACAAATGCAGTTAATATTTATTCTTCAGTGATGCAGCTAAGGTATCTGTGCTATCACCTAGACATTATAGCCTTGTGCAGTTATTGGCAGTAAGACGGTATATCCCATCCAATATATGAATAATTGTGTTCTGCCTTTAAAAGGCTCTCATTTATTATCCATTAGTAACATCATTCCCAGATGGCAGTTTGTAAGGTGGGAGGCTACATTAGGACTGCCATAACACAGACAGGGAGGAGCTGGCCCCAGAGCCCGAGAATGGGCAAGGCATTGTTTCTTATAACTGTTATAAATATGGAACTTGATTGATTTTGGCAATGGATTGTACGACATGTTTTCTCTTCACAATGAAGAGCAGGATTCAATGGGACAGACAATCCACGACAGACCTATGCTCTTCTTATGTCACAAAACTCAAAAATAAAAAAAACCCCAAAAAACCCCCCACAACCCCAACAAAACCAACCCTTCACATCTTTCCAAAAGTACACATAGCATCTTATGCTCTGTTGGGTGTATGTATACACAGACACATATTCAGCATCACTCCTGCCACGGCATAGGATACTAAAAGGCATTGCTTGGTATCACTGAAAATTACACAGGTTTCATCATGTATCAGACTGCTCCTCCTTTATTCTCTCCTTTACTTGTTTCTTTTCTCTTTTCCCTGATAATGGTTTCTTCTCTCTGATTTTTTCAACTTAATTCTTCTCTTTTTTTTCTTTCTTTTTTCCCTCCTTTCAGTAGAGGATATCAGCTAACTGATAACACGAACACCCTTGAGTAGGTCAGGCATGAGCACCACCCAAGAGAAAACAGATTTATATCCCCTACCTCTGTTACAGTAAGATGAACACTGCCTTCCTCCACACAAGCACCTTGCCAAAGAAAATTCCAGCTGTTTCCACACATAACATAAACTCCCAAACTGGAATACAGAGTACAGTTTTAATAAAAGAGATTTTTTTAATGGCTTGTGTATCATATTCCAGCTTCCTCATCTCAATTAAAGACCATCTTAGGCAAGGATGCTACTTCACAGAATGAAACAAAGCAGCTCTGCCTTCACTGGTGGCTTTCAGTGGTTTCATCTGCACAGATGCACAGTTAACGAGTAGGGAGAGCAGAAAAAGCTTTCACCCATGACCATTCTAGTCTAGCCCCTCTGTATTTTAAAGAATGGCATAAAAACATGAGTTTCAGCAATTAAGGATAGGGTTTTACTCCTTGACATCCTTGTGTGGCAATGACTCTGACAGACTGGTTCAGCATAGAGATCAAATCTGCTTATTTCTTTGTGTTGATCTAATATACAATTCATTCTCCTCGTCATTCATTGACTAGGTCAAATGAGATTAAATGTTACAGAATAGAATCAGAAAGAGCATTTCAACACAGAAACAGCAAAGATATGAAAGTTTTCTGTACCATGAAGAACTAGGCAAATACTTTAATCTTACCTCCCTGAGGGGATCATTTAGCTCATTGAGAATGTTTTCTTCATCAAAGATCTTGCCTTGGTAGCGGTGCTCGTAGTAATCATGGATCTTCTGGCGCATTTCAGCAGGTAACTTGTGGAATGACATGTACTGTTCCACTTGTTTGTACTGTCAGGACAATAAAAGGAAGAATCAGAAAAAGAAAACATTTTTTTACTATCTAAAGGCACCTACAAAATGAAAATTCATTCATGTATTCAGTTAAGCTTTACATATTTTAAAAATATAACATTTTATTTGTATGTCAAAGAACCACCACAAAAATGTTAATTTAGAATTACTCATGTGACAGCACAACTATAAACAGAAACTGCCTTTAGTGGCAATGCTAATATCACGTTAATATATAAGTTTTAGAAGCCAAAACCACACACCTGTCATGTGTTCCCTAAATTCGCAGCTATACAGAAGTTGTGAAAGTACACCAACGCCATTTTTAGCTCATTCATTGCAGCAGACAGGGAAACTGTACACAGTGTGCATTTATGTCTCTAGTGCTGCGTTTGGAGAGAGTTTAAGGTGTGAAATTTCAGAAACTGGCTATGCTGTATTAATATGCAACATATTAATATTGTGCATGCTTATAAAGTGACTGAAGAACAAAGTTAAAATCTGTGGAGATAATGAAGTAGAAAGCATTCCTCAGGAGGAATGAGGAGAAGAGAAAAGTGAACTGGAAAAATAGGCATGGCATCAGGAAACCGAAAGTGGGGGAAGGGAGAGATGCCAGGACCCAGGAGACCCAGAGGACCTCACTTCATCTACCTTGTGCATTTGGTTTCCTTGTTTCTACTAGTCCTCTGTCCTATCTTCTGCTTTGTTAGAGTCCCTTCTTCAGAAGTCTTTTTGGATAGCATAATTTTCAGGAAAAAAAGTCCCAAACTAACACACTCAGAGTTGTACTGTGCTAAACTGCATGATACATCTGACACCCACAAAATGGAGAAGTTGAATAAACCACAAATGCACAAGTACCACTTGACCAAGACTTTTGCCCCTCAGACTCCCCATCCTTGTCTCAGTTGAAGAGGATAAGGCACTGAGACACAGAAAGATAAAACCCCTCCCAGGCTTATAGATGAGTTAAAACTTTGAAGAAACTTCATTTACTTATGTAAAGAGTCTTAATTTAATTTTTTCTTCATTTTTTCATGCTTAATTAGCTAATTTTAACTGTTTTCAATGAAAAAGCCAATGAAGTCTTAATTAGGATCAGCATCTCTGTAGAGCAATTAAATGCATTTATAATGTACATGCACTCCTCATGAACTGCAGTGCATATGCTTTAACTTGTATAATTGAAGGCTGCTCCATCCTCTAGAATAAAAATTAGTTTTTGCTTTGAAAAGTGGCAAAAGATTAGATGAGACCACGTGTACAACATGCATTCCACAAATAAGAGGAAATGTAATTTTGCATGGGATTATTTAACAATGTACAATGAATATGTAAGTCTGATTTAACCTCTGTACAGCTATTTTGCACCTCTGAAGGAAGAATCCTTCACCCGCATCCTTTAGAAATGAGATTTAAATTTGCACGCTCATCATTGGTTTCTGTTCTCATATGGAGAAATTTATCTATACATTGTGGGTTTGAATCAGAGTTCTGGGTCACCAGAAGACAGACATGCCAGAGCAAAAACAAAGTATTGCTTCTAAAATTACCCTACTAATCAGTCACAGCTAATCTAGGCACAGATTTACTTAGAAGGAAGAGACATGAGATTGCCCAGTGCCCTGTATGGTTCACCAAGGTGTTCACACAGTCCCAGCTGCTGTGCAGCGCTCCACCTTTTCTGCAGCAAAGCCGAGGAGAAGACGCTGCACTGCGCAACGTCTCCTTCGTGTCTGCGTGCAGCCCTCCGTTGCTCCGGCCTCATGTCAGGATATATAATGTCGTAGCACACACGGACAGGGAAAGGACTTCAGTATAATCCTGAGCACAGGGTCTGCACCCCTCTACCCAATCTTATTTGCATACAAATCTGCTTGAGCAATGCTAATAAAGAGTAATCCTTGCTAATAAAAAATATATTCATTGAGATGTATAATGCAAGAGACCTGCAAAGGACTTTTATACTAGAATGACCTTGAAGAATAGAACTTTCGTGCTAAAAGCAGTTTGCTTTGCCAGCAATTTACACTGCTCCCTTTCATTAGTGCTGTTATTTGAATAGGTGCTTTCTCACACACAAGAGAGTTCTTTTCTCTACCAGGGTTTATGCTTACACATGAGAATTTATGGAAACAGAAAAAATAAAGCTGGTGGAAAGGTAGTGTTTATCACCGGTGTGTCTCAGAATATTTCCAAATTAGTAAGAGCTGCATACTAGCAACATTTTCTTTAAAAAATCTACAAGGAAGTTTGTCTTGCACAATTCCCATAAATATTTAACCATCTAAAACATTAGGTCTCTTTCCATGTCCAAATATCTGACCCTGTGAGTGTACAGCATACTATCAGCTTGCAATAAATCTTTTCCTAGTCTTAATCAGTGTGATTTTGACTCATATTCTGTATTATTCATGTACTACTACTCCCTTCCTGACATTCTGTCATCGCATTCGCCTGAAGTGTTTTTGATTGCTTTTTTATTTCTCAGAAAAAGAAGCTCTTTTTTTCAGCCTGTTATATGTTATTGGCAATATTGAGGTTTTCCTGGATTAGTTGTCACTGTAGTGTGTCACATGCCAGTTGCAAAAAAGTGTGCTAAAATGAAGATACAAAGAAAAAAAAATGGTCCTGTTCACTCTGTGAAATAAACCACTAATTTTTCCAAGTTAATTTTGAAGAATATTTTCTCTGTGGATACCACAGATATCAATAATGGTTAGAAAGTGAGACATTTTTCACTTTTAAATAATTACACTGATTTTGTTGGGGTTTTTTACTCATGAAAAAATTGCAAATAACTTAAAGAGAATGGAACTACTTTGGGGAAAAAAATTACATGTAAAAAACGTTTAAAAATTCTCATTAGCAGTGTGACTTCTTGAATAAATATGAAAATTCAGTAGCTTCTTTCCCTGATTTTTCTATGTGTGATTTTATATATGAAGTTGATAAAATTGTCAGTGAAGTTAAATTTTGTCAAAACTTTGTATTTTAATCATATTTGAAAGAGCTGTAACTGATCCTGATTAATCCCCCAGACCTAACACCTGAACCTACATCTTCATGTGTGATTGGAATAATTTCTCTCTAATGACTTTCCTCATCACACTGTATACTGTATGTTTTCCCTTCTAGATTGAAAATTTTGGTTGTTTGGCAGGTTTTTGGGGGTGGTGGTGTGGTGGTGTGTGTTTGTTTGTTTGTTTGTTTCCTTGATTGTTTTGGTTTATTCAGAAAAGAGACATCTTAATTCCACATTCACAAAAGCACCTCTGGTTCTTTTCTTACATCTGTGTGAAATAAATAACTTTCAGAGCCACAGCAAGTTCCCTCAAAAGTGACTTTAATTTCCTTTTGGGGTTGGTTTGGGTTTGGTTTTTTTTGGCTTTTCTCATGCCACATGAGAAGCACTAGACTACATTCAAAATATAAATGACTGTGTTAAAACTCTCTTTAAAATTTAAAAATTGCCTTTCCATCCTTGCTCCTGCGTGACACAAGGAACACCTGATTTTCCAGGGAGGACTACTTAGTAAGAGACTCCAGGTGTGCCCGTCTAAAGGCATGTCAGAGGCCTCCAAAGGTAATGGCAAACTAGCTCTGATTCCAGGGTTCTCAGGAGAGAAAGAGGCATCCAGGCTACTCAGCAGAGCCACTGCTGGATGAAGACATGGCAAGACAAAGGAAAGCTAAGATGAAATTTTTAAAATGAGACCATTGTTGTTTTGTCCAATGTTACTACTCCCAAGTATGAGTTTATTTCTATAAAACTCTAAACATGGTGCAGTTAACTTCAATATGTTTTCTGGTAATCAAATGTTTTCAGACTGCTTTAAAAAACTTCTTAATGCATAATGATGTAAATGAAATGAAATGAAAAGATTTCTTTCTTCATCTTTCTTTCTTTCCTGGGATCAGCTGGCTTATACTCCAAAATATGGAGAATCACAAGCCTTCTGACACTACTTGATGCAATTTTAAGTGCTCTTATTATCCATACAAATACCTACTTTTGTATCCCACTGTGCTTCTATACTATCTACACTTTTTTTGGCCTGTACAAAGAATATATTCTTTTTGCAGTTTAATTTTCCCCTCTCTCAAATTCATTGTATGTTGTCTTAAACTTTCATAAAAGTAAACAGTATTTTTGAATGCTGGTGCTATTTTTCATACCTGTTACCACTATACATTCCTGGTCTTTTCAACATCTCACTGAATGGAAGGAATACTGTGTTGCTGACCACTCCACACCTACCTCTTTTTTAAGATGAATATTAAATTGGTTATCCAAAAATGAGTATGTATATTAATGTGATATATATACTGCCTTGCCATAATTTTAGTAATTTCTATCCCAGTGTTTTATATTTATCACTGAAATGAAAATGCCTATAAATGCTTCACAAATAAACAAAATTGCAGAAATAGGCAAGAGCTAAGTGGATTTCAAAGTTAAGTAATATTTCACATATTTTTACTGAAAAGCACCACCCAGTAATAACAGTTGCTTGTTGTTTCAGCCATTATCTTATTCATGGGCCCCTTATATGTAGAAAAAATCTGCTGCTATCCTCCTCCAGCAAGAGGTGAGTAGTATGACATCAGTCATATGAGGTCCTTAGTAGAACTGGTTAGGAAACTAGTTATCCTTAAAAAAATAGGTATGGAAAAAGGCAATGGAGAGGACTGAGATCTTTATCATAATGATTTGCAACTGAAGCAGGAAAAATATTTTAAAATTAAGACAGTATCCCAATACAGGAAATGTCCCAATGAAACCAGTAAAATAGAAACCTGAACGCTGATCTCTCACAAGGTATTTTACTACATAAGTTGAGCCTAGCAGGTCCTTTCTTCATAATATTTCATAACTAGTAAATTGCCCTTTTTAGCTGAAAAAATTCTCAGACTCCTAATAATCTTTACAGCTGAACATTCAGTCCTTGATACAATAAACCATATAAACATATGAAATACATTACTAGTAT